ACTGTATTCAGCCATATTTGAGCAGTAATCGTGATAATCTAACTGCACTCTGAATGTTAACGTTGCTGTCTTTGTGTTGCAAGTGAAGGTTGAGTGGCCAGGCTGAGGGTGTTTTAATGCCTAACCTTTTGATTCAGTTCAGTCTTGTTTGCCTGTTTAGTACAGTTTGACACTCAAGAAAATGAGTCTTGGTCTTTTTATTTGTGTGGTTCGTTTGTGCTGTTAAAGCAACAGACCAGCCACAGGATTCATGATATGATATGTAGATATGTTCATTTAGCAAGATTTTAAAAGCTAAACTTTTGAAGTATAAGCACAGTATAGATTTATGGTAACCACTGTAACATCATTTCATCAACTGCTTCATTCATGCTTCTCAACCACTGGCTAGGACTGCTCGATTATGGCAAAAATCATAATCACGATTATTTTGATCAATATTGAGTTCATGTTTATTTAACATGATTACTCATTGACTTTGGAAACACTGCATTTATTGAACATTTATTTACATTTATTTAACAGTGGCCTTTCTTAAACTTTAAATACAATTCAACAAAAAAACAAATATAAAAATAAATTTAAAAGGTTTGATAGACAGATAGATTCTCCAGGCAAACTCGACTGGCAGTGTAAAAAGAGAAACCTGCTTATACCTGCTCATCTCTGTGGTAAAGGGTATAAGTTAAAGATATGAGTGTGTAGAAAGTCTCTGAAATGGCACAATAATTGCTAAATCTGGATCATCTTGTTTTCATAATTGTTGGAAGCTAAGATTGTAATTGAAAATTAAATAGCCCTACCACTGTCTCATTCATTAGCTGATAGGCTACCACCTGACAGATAAAAACAAAAGAAAACATTGATTCACCTAAGTACAGTCCTGAATCTATAATTATTTCACAATTTTCAGTGAGCTAGTGTAATAACAGCTAGCAGCTATTAGTTAGTCTGAGAGCTAGCCAGATTAGCCTGATAGCATCAGGTGGTGTGCACCAAAGAGCTGTTTGTTGGAATGGCGGCCAGAGGTCGTGAAGTGAATAAATCCTCATGTTTAATGGTGCAACTGACTGGTAATGGGGTCTGAAAAAGCTATAGGCTAGTTAGCCCTCGAATTTAATAAAATTTTAACTAAAGAACATGCATTTTGAAAATGTTATTCATGAAACATCTGAAAACAACACCATGAGAAATTAATAATATGAAACTATAAATGTGACAGTTAATTCAATCTGACTCCCTAATGTGAGTCTTTCCTGCGGAAGAGTAATGCTGGATTTCTTCCTTCCAGGTCTGATTAATAAGGGATTAACTCACATGGCAGTGCAGTTGGATCCAGTTAAGTCATCTCAAATATTCCAATTTGTTGTATCAAATGTTATTACTGGCTGGATTTGTGCCTTGGCTTCAGGTTAGCTTTTGCAATCTCAGTATTAGCATATTCATGTGTCTAAGGTCCATGAGCAGAAGAACCAACAGACTGAGTTCAGATGTTTCTCCTCCACTACAACCTGTTATTGTCATTTAGCCTTGGATGGAAGGTTGATAAGACACTTATCAGTGATAAGACATGATATGAAATTAACATTCATTTCATTATCATTTAATGACTTGAGCTTTCTATAGCTTTACATTTAAAGAGGGAGGTCCCTGAATGCAAGCAGCGATGGGGGGGAGTAACTACGCAACCTAATTAAAAGTTTCAAGTTGGAGGCTTGCTGATTGTAAATGACTTTAGATGATGCTGGTGGGCTTACTGTTGATCTCAAGCTGTTCATGCAGTTAATTAAAAAAAACGATGTGGCGAACCAAATCGGTTACAGATTGCAATTAATGCACTCTGTGAGCTGGGCCGGGGGAGACCTATCCTGCCTCGTTAGCAAGTGCACGCCTGCCGGGGTCAGCCTATCGGAGAGCAACTGCTTTTATTTGTTTTTCATCCTTTTTCATAAGCCATTATTATTAGCAAACCAAGCGATAAGCAATCATGTGCAAAAGAAAAAACAAAAAAAACAAAAGCCGCGCCTCTTGGGAAGAGCTTAACTGTTGCTTGGCAACCTACCCGTGCACATGTGAATGAGGGAGATTTTATTTTGAAGGACAGTCCTCTCTTTATCTTCACCCTCTGTCCTTTATTCCTCCGTCTGTGAGATGATCAAAGGTATGACAGGTAGCTAAAGCGTGGCGGTAAAATGGACGGAGAGGTGGGGAGAAAAAGGGAAAGGGGTGGAGGTTTGGAAGGCGGGAGGGCACGTATTGAAAAGAAATGTGAAGCTTTAAAGGATCAACTGCTGAGAGACTTTGTTAAATCACAGCTGGGTAATTTAACAGCAGTCACATTTTCATTTTAAATCTACTCTCTTTGACCTCAAAACACGCCTGACTTTGGCAGTAATGACTGGTATTATTCCTCCCCGTGTGACACATAAGGTTGTAGTACTGGGTGCGTTTAAGGTGATGTGGTCTGTGATATAGTCAGAATTAGGTTTGCAGTGCATCGTGTGTTTATTCTGGGTGCTTCCACCCCCGTACCTCGCTGGAAACCATACGCAGAGCAGGAGAAGTGGGTTACACGCAGGAAACAGAAAGCTCCTGAGGGAGAAAAACAGCGGCGCCTGACATCACAACGACGAGGAAGGAAACTGAAACATGAGAGATGCTGCATCAGTTCAGTCACACTACACCTGCTACTCATCTGAGGAGAGCATGGAGGAGGAGGATGTATACATCCAGTTGCACACACACACAGGCACAGTGATGTAATGTTGAAAGGAAAGGTGGGTAAACTGTATCTAAATGTCAGTGATCTCATACTGTAAAAGTCTTTGATGAGAAGCTTGTTACAGTTTGTCATTACACTGACATGACAGGACAATCCAGTATGTTCACCAGGTTAGCATGATTCTCTAAGTGAGAGGATAAGAAACCATAGCTGTAAGGCTGGATGACTCATTTTAATGATACACATGTGAACTTGTCAGATTTGTTTTTTCACTCTAGTTCAATAAATCTGAACAAACAAATGACATAAGAAGGGAGCGTTTCCATGTAATTGGGTGTGTGTTGTTATACACGGAATATTAGCAGGGTCGGCTGAACTTTTTTTGAGCAACTGATGTGTATTGGACTTTGATAATGATGATGATGGACAATTATCTCCCACAATTTATGAATGAATGAAACTAGGGCTGCACAATTAATTGAAATATAATTGAAATCGCAACATGGCAAAATGCAGAATCCAAATCGCAGGAGCTGCAAGTTTTCTGATAAAGATAAAATATGTCACAACAGACCATAAATTAAGCATTGTGGTGCGACAGAGATGCCTCGGCCTACAAATCATATTCACTAAATGTAAAAAGAACAGGCTTGTTTGATATAAACCCCTACAAAAGTCACATCACAAAATTTTTATATTGTTTTCAGGTAAAGTGAAATTCAAAAATTACCTTTCCAACGTACGAAATCGTAACTGCTATCAAAATAATCGCAATATTTTTTTATTTTATTTTATTTTTTTTTGCATATTCTTCAGCCCTAAATGAAATCATTACTTTGGTTTAGTTGCATGATAGTTCAGCTCTAAATTAAACATAAGCTAAAGTAGTAGTAGTATTGTTTTCTCAAATGAACTTAAATATGTTTATACTCTCATTTCGTTTTATTCTGGCTTTTTTGATCTGGCAAAAAAATTAGTACAGGAGTATTTTCAGCAAAATGTATGACAACAGTTAATAGCCGATTGTGATGATATGTAATCATGCAATTAAAATTTGTTGTACAGAGATAAGATCTCACCACCATCATATTCTTAAGGAACCAAATATATAATGTCTTGTTCATTTCACTGACATTTTTTGTAAACTCTTTCATAAAACTAGTGTTTTCACCAACATAAATAAAAAATGATCAATGATCATTCAAGTTTAAATAGTTTTGGCAAAGGGATCAGTTATGTAGTCATGAATGATCCAGTGCTTATTGTTATGAAGATCAGATCTACATCTGATTAGAAAAAAAGAAAGAAATGCACTTCTGGTGTGAACAGCCAGGCTACTGCTCGCATGACACAGAGTGGGACTGGCGTTAGACATCAGGCCAGGCCTAGCTCGCTCCTCAGCAGCAGACAGCTTGACCTCTTGACCTCATCTTGACCTTCTATGGGGCAGTGGGTGAGGCAGTAAGATGGTACCCAGGTCCCAGGATAGTTCACTAACTGTTCAAGTGACAGTATTAATCGGTCAAAATTCTTATTGTCAGTTAACTATAGGTCAGTTATGACCAACACTTATCTTCATGATTTCTTTTGTATTTGCAATCAGCAAAGAAACTAGTAAATATAGCTGTCAGATAAGGTTGCAACTTTATTTTCATTATCAAACAATCTCCCATTTATTTTCTTGAATAATAAATTTGTCGTTTACTCTATGAAATATAAAAAGACAACATATAGTCCACAAGCCAAAGACATTCAATTTATTATGATATAACAGAGGAGAACAGGAGAAACTGTAACCACATAATGTTTGGCAGTTAAAAATTTACTCAATACATTAATTGATTATCAAATTAGTTGCCATCTAATTTTTCTTTTAATCAACAAATTTACTACTTGTGTAGTAATTGTTGCAGCACTACAGATAATAGAAGTGCAGTTAAAAGTACAATATGTTAATGTGAATTGTAGTGAAGTAGAAATTTAAAGTAGCATACAATGAAAAGTATTGGAAACGGTACTGAAGTACTTGAGTATGTAGTTGTTATCTTATAGGCTACTGCAAATGTTCACCCTTGTAACTCAACAGAAAATGTGCTCACAGCTCTTCACTGAAGTTCTTAAAATTTGATTCACTTTTTCATGCTCTGCTCTGCGGCTAAATTCATTTCCACCTCGTATCCTTTCCAGGGCCCGGCTTGAGGCAGCAAACCATCCCATGGGAGGAAGAGTTCAGCTTGGTCTTTAACTGATCCGACACTCACACCGCTCGCCTCCGCTTTACCTTTCCAATGAAGAACTTCCTCTCCACCCTGGGGCCCTGACTCCACATTCTTCCAGCTCTTTTACATCTCCATCATCTCAGCTTCCCTTGATCAATCCACCTGCAAAACTTGCCAGACTCTCGACTTCCTCCTCCTCCTCCCTCTTCCCTCCCCTCCCCGGTGAGTCTCTCCCTGGGGTGCTGAAGCCATGGCGGTGCCTTCAGCCCATGAGTTTCACTGGCAGAACCTGGCACGACTGCCCAGTGGCCGCGTCTACCACACTCTGTCTGAGGTGGGGGGGCAGATGTACATGCTGGGGGGCTGCGACACCGCGGGGAGGCCGTGCCCCGGCATGGAGCTCTATTCTCCTGAGGTACCAAGCAAATCCAACCTCATCAGATACAACGAAACATCAGTTACAGTGTGTATCTGATGTTTCACTTTCCCCCAAGGAGCAGTAGGCAGTAGAGGAATGACAGTGCTGGTAGAAGTGATGTCAGTGCAATAATAAATTGGTTAAAATGTTAGTTTAAGCAGCAGTTTATGTTTTGTTTTTTTTAAAAGCCACAAAAAAATCTGAACTTGTGAACATTCACACATACAGTCAAATATGTACATTAACATATATGTTAATTTTCCCACTGCAGTGAGTACAATGAATGGTGGGTATAAAGCTGGAATATTAAGCTTCTAATTATCTTGGTAAATCAGCAACAAAGTACAATCTGTACAGTATCTGTGTTTCAATTTCCACCTTACGAATATATCATGACTTATTTGAATATAAATTACATTTGAGCCTCCTGAAGACACTGTCACAAATCGATTTAAAGTGGAAATATATCTTTATTTTGCTCTCTATATGAATCCCGGCACTGAAGAGTAAAAGAAGGAAAACTCGAAAACCTCTGAAACACAGAAAACCTCTGAAATGTTGCCTGACATACTGTATGAAGAACACTAAAAGTTTCAAGTATTTAAACTCATTGAAACATTGTTCTGTCCTTTATGTCGTTGTTATTATGTGTGTTATATATGTGAGATAGAGAATATGACCTGTACTTTGTATTATAACCTAACACTGTTTTCTCAACGAAGATGTAACCAGATGTTTTAACAGCTGACTTGTCCCTTGTTTGTTTGTATGCACGTGCTCTGCCTGAATGCATCTCCTTGTCCCTGTTTGCAGGGGGACCGATGGATAAGTTTGCCCCCGATGCCCACCCCTCGTGCTGGGGCAGCTGTGGCCGTTCTTGGGAAGCAGATCCTGGTGGTGGGAGGAGTGGGAGAGGACCAGAGCCCCCTGAAGGTGGTGGAGATGTACAACACAGATGAAGGGAGGTGGAGGAAGAGGACCTCTCTGCGGGAGGCCCTGATGGGTGTATCCATCACTGTGAAAGGTATGAATCACAACATATTAACTGTTCACAATAATGCCCAGGGCTAATAAGTTGTGTCTTAACAGGACACTAATACTGTTACACACAGCATAGACTTTAGGTGTCAAGTGTGTGGTGTGGTGCTGTGTGCAAAGCTGAGAGAAAAAGGTAGAGCTAATTAAAATGAAGCTGTGGTGGATAAATCTCTTATTAGTATAAAATAACTTATCCGTCAAATTAGTGAAAAACTATTACAGCTATAAAGCATCTTAAAAGAAGAAGATATGCCCACTACTCAGCCATAGTATCTTATTATGTAGCTCATTTAACAAATTCATATTTCATATGCATAAAAATACCAAACCTAAACATGAACTTTCTTATTGTTTTTTTCATAAAGGCAGCAGGGAATGTTTATATTATTTATCGGGACCGAATGAAACAAGAAAGCAGCACGTGGGAGGGAAACACTGTCACTTTCACAGTTTCCAGAACTCTAGAAGAACAAGGTTTTCCATAGATTCCCTGTAGATAACAGTGAAAAGACAAGGATCATGGAAGTCCCAGCAAATATAACATAACTACAGAGACACTGATTCAGATTTTTTTAGAAGTCTAACCAGCTGATTCCAGTTTTCTTTCTAAAAACATTTTTTTCTTTAATGGACAATTCAATTGCATGTTCATAATAAAACATTGACTATTACCTATTGAATAATGAGGTGAAGGTCTCTCTCTCTCTCTCTCTCGCTCTCATTCTGAACGAGGAAAAAAAAAATCACCTGACTGTTTTCTGGTTACTTCTCTTCACTTTTGCGACCGTTCATCAAAGATGGATGATTATTATTATCGGTGGGCTCTATCCAAGGCATCCACACATGCGTGCAAGCCACAGCAGTAGTTCACTGATGTAGCCTTAATGCACAGGTGACATAAGCAGTGTGGCACCAGCTTTAGCCACTTTGCCTTTGATAGCTTCTTGAAATGTTCAGCTGGGTGATGGTGTTTGAAGTATCAGGAGATTATGTTTGTTGTTCTGAATATTTTCACAGCTTACTTTGGCGTAAGGTTTTACAAGTTGCAGGCCCACGGTGAAACTTCCACACCAATGGCATGTCATGTGTGTGTGTGTGTGTGTGTAGCTGTGTCTGTGCTGTTGTGCGTGCAACGTGAACCAACGTGTGGCGCATGAGTGTAAATGTGACCGGCACAGAATCTGACATCTGAGACTGACCTGCTGGTCACTGATCACAGCCGATAACACTAAAAATCATGGCAACGTTTTCTGATCACCAGCCGATCGATCGATACATCTGTACTGATAATATCTAATCCTGCCCCCATGTGGAAAGAGGCATGTAAACCACAGCTGCTGTTCCTCGTTCCACTCCACGCTATTTAAACATCACATGGTACTGAAATTATGTTGGATATGCTAATCAGATGAATTACACAGATAAATAATTTAACATTTAATATATGTGTCATATAAAAGAAGCACCCGGAGAATTTAAACACAGCTTTGATTCCTCATTAGATTTTTGTCTCACACACAAATAGCTGACAGTGATTGAAAGAAATAAACAAACAAAACATATTGAGTAAATATAGGTGTGTGGTCTCTCCATGTCTCCACAATGCTGGACTCTTGGTAAAGTTTAAGTTTGAACATACTGTATGAGCAACACCTCAGTGCACTTAAAACTACGCAGCCTTTGAGGTAAGCTTTCCAGTTTGACTCCAGTGGTGCAGTTTTTTGGTCCCTGACGCTCAGATTTATTCTCAGTTTGGAATTCATCCAGTGGTCTATATAAAGAAACAGTCTTCTCGTCAGCCATGGATGAGTTTGTGTTCAGTCCACTGGTGCATTTGTCAGTGTCTGCAGGAACACAGATAGATGCTGTACACACACAGACTTATTGGCTGCATATAGGCTTCATCGTGCTACTCTCTCCATCTCCCTGACCAATCTTCGATCCTTGGCCTTTGCTTGCAGTTTCATCCCGACACTCATCCCCAGCAGCTGGAAAAGAGACAAATAGTCTGACAAAATGATCGATAGGGCCAAATTAAAACAAATATGGTATTTTTAAATGGATAGTCAGTCACAGAATTGACTAGATTATGCCATTTTTATTGACATTTTTGGGATCGTTATTTTCCAGATATTAGATGATGAACTTTAGGTAATGAGCTTTTCTTTTCCCTAGAATGAATGTAACCTGTTGGGAAAACTTTTTTTCCACTTTTGTTATTTATGTAACATTGATGCATGGAGGTTAAAATTTAAAATAAAAGGCTGAGTAATGAAAAACATGAAAAATTGATAAAGTAAAAACATAATAAAAATGCAGATTGTTTCCCTGCAGCTCTTTTTTCTCCAGTCTGATGATTAATGCTGTATTTTTTCTTTTGTTTTAGTGCTCTCACCCTCTCACCCACCTCAATTCTTATGCTAGAGGTGTCATACCAAAGTGCCAGACATGAACTCTGCATTTTTATTCTGCTGCTGCACACGCCCTGTGCTCCTCATGTCTGTCACAGTCTCTTGCTTCGTCACGAGCTAACTTCTCAGCCAGCTCCGTAGCCTGGCAGATTTTTAGCACTTCATAAAGTGCCAGTGAGGTGTTTCCACCAGCTGGGATTGTTGTTATTGTTGGAGTAACATTTTTGGAAAAATGTTGTGACGGCCAGATATTTCTCAGAATAAACTTAAATCCATAAAATGCATTTGATGAAAACGGTGGCCTAACTATGCTGTAAATTATAAATATATAAAATCCCTGTGCTGTGTGTGTGTGTGTGTGTGTGTGTGTGTGTGTGTGTGTGTGTGTGTGTGTGCGCGCGGGTGCGTGTGCGTGTGTGTGAGCGCAGATGGACGGGCTCTGGCTGTGGGTGGAATGGGTGCTGACCTGCTCCCTCGTAGCATCCTGCAGCAGTATGACCTTCGAAAGGATGTGTGGGCACAACTTCCTTCCATGCTGACCCCACGTTACGATGCCAACATTAATCTGCTTGGGAACAAGCTCTACGTGGCAGGTACAACTACCAGCGTGGCTGTGTTTATAAAACTGTTCTTTCACTTTGTGTGTTAAACAGCACAATCTTTATTTGCAGTTTCAGTTCACACTCTGAGAACATCGAAACAGCTGTATACTGTTTGTTTCACCTAATCTTTAAGGTGGACGGCAGTGTAAGAGACCGGTGAAGGCCTTCGAAGTGTACGATGCAGAGGCGCGTTCTTGGACTACACTACCCATGATGCCCTGTAAACGTTCATATGGTGGTGTGGTGTGGGACACAGCTGGGAGGCTGTGTCTGCTCGGAGGACTGCGTCAGGGAGGAGGACACCAGAGCTCCAAGTTCACCAAGAACGTCAACATTTTCGACACTAACCAAGGTACAAAAACATGCCACACACACTGCCAGACAGTTAGTGTTACTGTTTTTAATTTATTTTTTATTTTTTATTTTTATTTTTTTATTACCATGGTTAATTACCATGGTTAATTTAACTCATGTTAGGTACTGTAACGCATCGACCAATAACCAGTCTCCCAGACACATGCGAGGCAAGCAACATGGGTTTGTTTTGTGTCAGTCGAAACATAGCGGAGGCTGTGACATAGTGGAGGTGGTGACAGAGATCCTCCAGGGATTTTCAGCCTTCTAGCACCCTTTTTACAGAAAAATTACGGGGTATAAACAGGTTTTTTAAACGAGGGTGAACCCCTAGAAAAGGCAATTGACTCCTTTTACACTGCTGGACGAGTTTGCCTTTCTGTCCAGAGAGGATATGCACACAGAGCACACACACAGATGCACGGGAGAAAGAGTGAGCTGATAGGTGCTGTGCAGATTGATGCTGAGACACGGCTTATTATTTATTTGTGGTTTCCATTTTAAAACTTGCTGAAATTATTTCAGTTTGTGGGTTATTAACAATATAACACACACTCTGATAACTCTGATACATTTGTTCACTATAATAGATTTAGTTTTTGTACTGTTTCATTTCTTTTGTTTTTATAGCTTTCAATTTATTTTAATCTCACGATAATAGTTTTGATAATAGTTTAATAATGATATATGGAATTTTCTGACCTTGCTCATGGAGTCAGAGCAGAGACAAAAACTGATTTAATTCATAAATTAGAACACACACACACATGTACACACAACACGTGCTCTGTGTCAAAGGGTTGTTCAGAACTTCATTTTAAATTCGACGTTTCTGAAGATGCTAAATAGTCAGTTTTAATTGCACTGAAATGTATATTGAAGGATGTAGCTTCAGTGAAGAGCTGGAATGAGAACAAAATGTCAAGATGGCTGGAGGACTTTAAAGACATGTATACATAATGCTGCTGCTTATATGCAGCTCTGTGTCCAAAACTATAAATGTGTAGATTTGTTGACTTGGTGTAAAGGAGTAGTTTGCATATGCCAGAAAGGGTTTTAAAGGAATAATTGTATATTTTGAGAATCTTTATTTGCTTTCTTTCCAAGAGGGAGATGAGAAGATCGATATCAGTCTCATGTCTGTGCATTAAGTGGAGCATGAAGAGTGGAGGCAGGGGTAAACAGCTAGCCAGGCTTTTTCCAAAATTCAAAAGCACTTCTACTGATTTGTCTAGTCTTGTTTCACTCATACATAAACAGAAGTGTAAAAATAAACAAGACTTAGTGATTTTAGGAGGAGTCTTATGTTAGAACTATTTCTTGATGAGCAGTTTATTCATGGGGACAGTATGTCTGTGCAGCGCTAGTTGCCAGATACGGTTGGCTAGAATGTGATTTTGGTCTCTGCACAAGCACAAAGATATCAAACGTGGGAACATCACCACTGTGACCACAACCCTTTGGGAGGCATTGCACAGTCACTGGGCCTGGCTGAAAAAGTTCCAGCACATTATTCCCCATAAAAACCACACATGTACTCATTTACATGCAGTGTAAATACAAGTGGCATACACAACACTAAAGGTGCACCACATTCATTCTGCACATCAAAGTGTGTTTACAGGTATAAGGGGGTTCTAAATACACTTGAAAAAAATGTTGTTGATTAAGGCTAGCGGAGCAAGGCTGCTTTAGCCACAGGTTTAATACAACTGGATCTCTAACTGAACTGTCTGTGGTGGAGTTGCATTGTGGACAATGTAGGCACCAGGTTTCAACAAGAAAGCAGATTAAAAAAGACATTGTCTCTGGTTCTGCTGCATTGATTTTCCTATGCTTTCTGTAACTGTTCATTGTGAGTCCAGCAACATTATAGGAGTGAAATGCTGAATCCGTGGAGTCCTCCTTTAAGCAGTCAGATTTACAGCTAGCTAGCAAGGCAAGCTGTTTCTACATGCTTCCAGTCTTTATGCTAAGATACGCTAAGTACTTCTTGGCTTCAGCTCCAGACATAAACACAGACCTGAGACTGAAATATTTTTTCCTTCTCTTTCCTGAGATTGGTATTGATTTTCTAATCCCACTCTGATAAATGATGGTATGATATGATATGCATATTTCCCTAGTCTGAATGATTCCTTTAACATCTTTTAAGTAATAAAAGACTTGTCTATCAAGTCTGCAATTCAAAGTCATTATGTTAGAGTTGGTTAATTAAGAGATTGTAATCAGAAAACAGATTATGGGTATCCCACAGAGGCATTTTTGGTATCAGCAAATGTATCATCATCTTCTTTTCCACTGACGGCATCCATCTTCATTTTGACTTAACCCAAAGCAGCCATTTGCATCAGCCTCACCATGAAGAGAAATGGCTTTCTACTCAAACAGGCTCGTTCCTTTCTAAATTCTGTGCACACTCCGTGTCCCACAACACAGCAAGATGACTTATCCCTTTATCCCACAAAGACACCCTAGAGTAACAGGTGAGCAAATTGAGGAGGGACCGGAAGGAGAAATGAAGGAGCAAAAAATCGATAAGTCATTTAAGACACGTGGGATATATGGTCACACATCGGCGTCGGTCGGATGAAAGCCAAATAAAGCAGAACCCGGGAATGATAATGTTAATTTATGATAATGTGGACAAAGTTTGCCTTGTGCGTGTTTAAGAGAGATAAATGAAGAAAGAAGGGAAGAAAACGGCTGCCAATACACACAAACACAAGCGTTCATGTGCATATACTGTTGCATATCCACATGCATGTGCACGCGCACACACACACACACACACACACACACACACACACACACGGAGAAGGCAACCGTACACTGTTTCTCCAATCTAATTTTGGTGGAGATGAGATGGGAGATGAGCTGCAGAGGGAGGGCCGGGGATGAGCAGCGCTTTAAATTACAAGATCCAGAAACAGATTGCTTTATTATCCATCTGCAGCAATATCTCTCCACACACACGCGGCCATGCAATCTGCTGTCACACAGTGATATTCTATTACTGTTCCATTCCATATCGCCAGTATTGAGACGCATGACTGTTCGGGGATGTTTCAGTGTTGTTGACAAGCTGCAACAAGTACAACAGAAAACACAAAGAATCAAGTTGTGAAAGAAAATTAACATGAAGAATGAAAAACCGTGGCTTTAGAAAATTGCTTAAGGGGTCAGTTCACCCAAATTACTTGAAGATATTTTCTCTGTTTCCTGTAGAGGTATCAGTTTCCCAGATACCTGCCTCCACCACAATACAACAGAGATTTTAATGTAGTGGACAAACATAACCAAAACTAGTGCATGGTTCTAAGCTGTTTGAAAAAAATTCCAACATTTTGTTTTCACTTTGTCCTTATGGGATATTGAGTGCAGATTGATGAGGGAAAAAAATAATTTTAGCATTTTTAGCATGAAGGCTGCAACATAACAAAATGTGAAAAAAGTGAAGAGATCTGAACACTTTCAGAAAGCACTTTATTTTCATAGCTCAGAGCCATTGCTTGCATTTTGACCTGAGGAATCATTGTCTAAATTTAGTTTAAAATAAATCCCTGCTGTGGAGGTAGTATTTTTGAATGGCCCAGGGTTGTCTACATTGGTTAGATACAAGTCTCAGGCTGTTACAATTTATATACAACTTCATTCATACAGTAAGGAAGAACTGACATTAAAAACTAAATCAAAGGTCTAAAAATTACGATACAGAAAGAGCGTGAGTGAAGTCATGAGGGAACAAGAGTAGCAAAACTTAGTTTTCTATTTAAGTTCAGTTATGTATTAAGTTGCACTGAGTGCATGGCTTTACCTAATACCTCATGATAAGTAGCTTCCATCTTTATTCCTAGACTGCAACAACCTCCCCCAGTAAAATGGTGCACCCTTTATTGTGCCCGTGAGACGAAAACTGGGGCAAGGTTAATTGCTGAGCGCATGATAATAATTGAAGGGGCATAAATATTTAACAACTCCTAGATTCTCCCGTCTGGTTGATGTTGAGGCTCTGTGACACACCTGCATTGTGTTGCAAATTTACTGGGCCCATTATAAACAGCGGCTACTGCTGAATGACAGAGCAACAGCCCTAGTGACTGTGCTTGTGTTGCATCTCACCACATTTGTTTGTTACTCTGTTTTCAGACTAGTTTACCACAGACACTGTAGAAAGGATATTTTAGATTTTAGTTCTCGGTGCTCCTCAGTACCTGGTACTATTTGGTCAAAAAAGAGGCCTGTGTTTTTGTGATTTGGTTGAACCAACACACACAATTTTTAATTCAGTTGCTTTTCTGAATTAGAATAATGAATTCTGCTGCTGTTACTGCATCTAACAGAAACACTCATCAGTCCCTCATGACTGAGCATGTAGAGCCCAGGCAGACAGTAACAATAACCACAAATGATGCAGCCCTCCTGGGGCCAACTAGTAACAAACGTATTCTTGTGTTGTATATTTGATTCATGACATGCTTGAGATGGTAAAAACTGCCCAAAAAACAAAAATGGAATGAAGCAGAATTGGGAATGAAGCAAATGCGGTTGTCTTTCGGCCATTACTGTGGATCAATTTGTAATTATTAGAACGTAATGGTGAGATTCTGTCCTAAAGGATCATCTGTGTAGTCAGCGGTGTCTGAGACTTCACATGACAGACAGAATCCATCAAAGATGAAGAACCAATCAACATCCCTTTCTAGTTTTAATCATAGGGACAATTACAGAGGAGAGCTGTGGACCAAATTACCAACACAGACTACAAAGCCTGGTCTTCAGAGGATCATCTCATCTCTTTCATTCTATTGTCACTCCCTCTCTCTGTATTTTCACTGTCTCTCCGTCTCTTTATTCTCCTCTGCCATCTCCCACCAGAGTAGAATAATGCATGCTGGTGTTTTCCCTGCATCCCACAAAGAAAGTCTTGGCACAAAGTCTTGTGTAATCCCTCCAAAGCAAATATGAATCAGTCCTGCAGTCGCAGCTCAGTCTCAA